AAAGTTTAGTGGAATGATTAGGGAGAGGGAGTGGCAAAAATTCCCTTCATTACTTATCAGAATTCTCCCCTCCAAAATTACAAGCTTAGTAAATTTGTTGTTTTGGACATTTTTCTATACTTTCACATTTACAAGTAAAAATATGGTTTCTGTCTAAACTGTTACAGCATGAATTGCACAGATATAGTGAATCACTTATAAGAGCTCTTGACGTTTTCTGTGGTGATTTGCAGGAATGTGGCAAAGTAATATTAGAGGATCTAGTTGATCTTGAGTGCTTCATACCATTTAAGTATTGTGAGAATTTTGTTAAAGTTTGGTGATATTCCTGTGTTTATACAGATGACCTAAATGAAAGACTACAGACTTCTGCATGTCAAAAAAAAAATCACCGTGAACTTGAAAAGTATTTGTGATGTATGATTAGAAGTACATGTCTTTGATTTTAAATAAAAAAAGAAAATAAGATTCTAATAAAATGGTCATTTATATTTTCGGTTTTGTGAATTGACTTGTAAGTGAGAAAATACATTCAATTTTGCTAGTAATAGAGGAGTATAAATGTTTTTTCTTTCACAAAGATAAATTGTCAGTATCTATCACCATTTAAGCTGTGTTTTTTTGACTTTTAGGGAGTTACATCATGAAAATAAGGGAGTGTTGCTAGGGATGAAAACCATGCGTACCATGCACTTGGGAAATTGAGGCAAGAGGATCACAAGTTCAAGGCCTGCTTGTCCTACATAGCAAGACCTTGTCTCCTGGAAAAAAAAAAAAGGGTGTTAGATTTATCTAAGCATACAACAAAATGTTGTTCTCATGATAGCAAAGCAAAAATAGAGATGACAATAGGTAAAGCACTAAAACCAGATTTTTATTCAGGATAATTGTGATAAAGAGACTTCAGCATAGAACTGGGCTCAGTTCTACATATAGTATGGGCAAGTGAGAATTTATGATAGCCAAAGAGCAGGGTGGGATTGGTAGATGGAAAACTGACCTAACAGAATTCTGGACAGAATTAGACATCACTTGGTGTGTATTAAAAAATAAGGGACCTAAATGAATATTGAAGATGATGGACAGTGTGGACTGATGGGGTTATTGCCAGTCTGACTTGTTAGTATGGTTTTTGCTCAAATTGAATTTTGTAAGGAAGATGGACCTAGGAGAAGACTCAGAAACCTGACTTAAATTTGGTTAAGCAAAGAATAATCAGTGGTCAGCATTTGGAAACAATTCAAATGAATGTCCCTGAATTTGGGTTTGTCTGATATTATCTCATCATATTCTTAATTTTCTCTTCTTCTTAAATACCCTCTACATATTCTTTGGGCCCTGGTAACTTTCTCTGGACCAGTGCATCCTCCAACGTGATGCAGAAGCATTTGTTTTTTATTTTCCCTTCCTCCTTCCCTCCGTCCCTTCCTCTCTCCCTCCCTTTCCCCTCTCCTTTCCCTCTTTATCCTCTCCCCTCTCTCCCTCCTTTCACCCCCATGCATCCCAAGTAGCAGGGATTTCTTGTGTACACTGTCATGCCTGGCTTGATTGTTTTTGTAATTTGGACAGAGTTTATGTTTTCTTCTGTATTGTATCATGATTACAGAGTGGTATTGTTTTTATGTTGATTTTTTTCATGGCCACAGAGTGTCTTTTTCTGATACTAATATTCTGTGAAATTGTTTATATTAAACAAGAGAGCGCCAAGATGTAGCTGTGTTAATAACTTAAAAAAAAATCAAACCTCTGATGGCACATAGATTCCTGGATCCTATTTATAGGCTTTGGGTATTCTTTGCTTTCTTTGCCTTCATGTGTTTGCTCCCTTTTTTGTTTATCCTACTTACATATTGACTTGGCATACTTTTAAGATAGAACTTTGAGAACCATAGTGACTTCCTGGACTACATCTATAAGTGTGATGTGCACATCTCCTGTACCTGTCTACTCCTGGTGTTTAGATGACTATGCCGACTGGACCCCAGTGACTTGTTCTAGCCCTGTCTCGGGAAGGGAATTTGACACTGCATGTCTTCCCTAATTCTGGCAATTGGCCTAGCTTAGACTGATTGATGTTCTATTCCTATTTATCTTGGAAATTCATTTGATTTTCCAAATTAGCCTTCTACACTTCCCTTTTCTTTAGTGGAACTGGGGTTCAAACTCAGGATTTCAAGCTTGTAAATAGATATTCTATCGCTTGAGCCATTCCTCTAGACCTAGATTCACTTTTTAAAGACTTACATAATGTGTGTTGTTTCTTTTCCTATGAATTCTTTTTTTTTTTTTCTTCTCAGTACTGGGGATTGAACTCAGAGCCTATACTTGCTAGGCAAGTGCTCTACCATTTGAGCCACACCCCAGTCCCTATCCATTCTTTATTTCTGTCAGTATTATGTTGACAGCATAAAGAAGATGATTCTTGTATGGGAGAAAGCAATTTGAACATTTTATAGTATAGGAGGATGAATTGGTCATTTAATAATTTGAGATACAAGAGTAGGGTTATCTGGGGGCATTGATTGGAAAGACTGAAATAAGATAACATGATGAAAACTAATTTGACATAGTAGCTTGAATAATGACAATGACATAAATCAAAAAGAAGGAAGGTGAGGAAATTGACCTATTATAATTCATATAAGTTAGCTACCTTCTGTTGTGTTAGATTCTCTAGGCTGTAATGGTAGATGGGTGAAAAAGATGAGGGTTCTGTTTTCAAAAAGTCCTGTATAATAAAAGGACACCTTTAAATACTGAAGTGAGAGTGGGAAGACAGATGTCACGGCCAATGAGAATCATGGTCCTTGGGTGGCAGTTCCTTTGGTAGTGAGGGGCTGAGACTGGGGGTAGTAGTTCAGTGGCACAGACTGCTACGTTCTAGCTTTTGAGTGGATGGATATGCTTTACCCTCCAACAGGCTCTGCCAGCATGTGTCAAACTCCTTATAAAATTTATGCCTTGCTGTTGTCTCCTTTGTGACCCTGGAAAAAAAATCAATTAGAATATGGTGTGACAAACTCTAAAGTTGATATAGGAAAGAGTAGGAAATACTCTGGAGTTAGTAGGTATAGGTAAGAACTTTCTCAATGGAACCCCAGCAGCACAGCAACTAAGAGATAGCATAGATAAATGGGACTTCATAAAACTAAAAAGCTTCTGCTCATCAAAAGAAATGGACTCTAAACTGAAGAGAACACCCACTGAGTGGGAGAAAATATTTGCCAGCTACACATTAGACAAAGGACTGATAACCAGAATATATAGGGAACTTAAAAACTAAATTCTCCCAAAACTAATGAACCAATAAAGAAATGGGCAAGTGAACTAAACAGAACTTTCTCAAAAGAAGAAATTCAAATGGCCAAAAAACACATGAAAAAATGCTCACCATCTCTAGCAATAAAGTAAACACAAATTAAAACCACACTAAGATTCCACCTCACCCCTGTTAGAATAGCCATCATCAGCAACACCACCAACAACAGGTGTTGGCGAGGATTCGGGGAAAAAGGAACCCTCTTACACTGTTGGTGGGAATGTAGACTAGTACAACCACTCTGGAAAAAAATTTGGAGGCTACTTAAAAAGCTGGACATCGATCTACCATTTGATCCAGCAATACCACTCTTGGGGATATACCCAAAAGACTGTGACACAGGTTACTCCAGAGGCACCTGCACACCCATGTTTATTGCGGCACTATTCACAATAGCCAAGTTATGGAAACAGCCAAGATGCCCCACCACTGACGAATGGATTAAGAAAATGTGGTATCTATACACAATGGAATTTTATGCAGCCATGAAGAAGAACGAAATGTTATCATTTGCAGGTAAATGGATGGAATTGGAGAACATCATTCTGAGTGAGGTTAGCCTGGCCCAAAAGACCAAAAATCAATGTTCTCCCTCATATGTGGACATTAGATCAAGGGCAAACACAACAAGGGGATTGGACTTTGAGTACATGATAAAAGCTTTAGCACACAAGGGAGGGGTGAGGATAGGTAAGACACCTAAAAAATTAGTTAGCATTTGTTGCCCTTAATGCAGAGAAACTAAAGCAGATACCTTAAAAGCAACTGAGGCCAATAGGAGAAGGGGACCAGGAACTAGAGAAAAGTTTAGATCAAAAAAGAATTAACCTAGAAGGTAACACACATGCACAGGAAATTAATGTGAGTCAACTCCTTGTATAGCTATCCTTATCTCAACCAGCAAAAACCCTTGTTCCTTCCTATTATGGCTTATACTCTCTCTACAACAAAATTAGAAATAAGGGCAAAATAGTTTCTGCTGGGTACTGAGGGGTAGGGGGGAGAGGGAGAGGGTGGAGTGGGTGGTAAGGGAAGGGGTGGGGTAGGGGGGAGAAATGACCCAAGCCTTGTATGCACATATGAATAATAAAAAAAAAAGAAAAAAAAATATGGTGTGAGAAATGCAGCAACTTAAGTACTGTAATTACAATGAAGAGAAAGTATAAATTTTGCTTGAATCATTTAAGAAAAGTTTGTTACGTATTCATTAGTTGTTCTGCCATGATCAGTCTGGGTATGGCTGAAGTTATTGATGACTGAATACAAGAGAGTTTCATGGTAATAAAGGTATAATTTTAAAGATAAATTTGGAATTATCTATTTCTGATTTGGGCTTCATTAAAAAGAATGCTTCTATGTAGAAACTTCTTTTGACATTTGGTGCTGAATACAAGGAATCCTGACCCTAACTTACTGGATCAGATTTTACTTTCCTGTTACATACTAATCCTGTTGGTAAAAGGAATGCTTTGCATGTCAGGTGACCTTTTAACTTAGGTTCATAGCTGAAAGGACTCAAGAAACCCATTAGTTCTTAGACTTAAATGTTATCCAAGTAATAATGGATATTTAAAAATGCATTGTAAATGTATTTTTGTTGATGAGTATAAAGATTCTATTTATCTGAATCCCTATATCTACAAACAGAAAATTCTTGACAGTGGTTATTTTTCTTTTATAGGCAGTAGGTCATCTAATGCAAAATTGCCCCCAGTTCCACCAGTTGGTTCAGTTCCAGAAGGTCCAGTTTCAAATATGAGGTATTTAAGCTGCTAACTTGGATATGATTTATGCCTTTTGATGACTCTTTAACTATCTAACTTCCTCCTCTCTCCCTACTTCTCTCCAGTACATGACATTTATAGACTTGGGAATATTTTAGAAGTTCATTTTATTTATTTATTTGTTTGTTTGTTTTTTGACAGCTCTGAGATTTGAACTCAGGCCCTCATGCTTGTGAGGCAGGTACTCTTGCAAAAGCCACTCAGCCAGGTCTCTAGAAGTTAATTTTATTTCAAAATATTATGAGATGTAAAATATTCCTGGGAAAAAAATGTTTTGTAAAAAAATAAAAGCTGTATGCATAACAAATATTTATATTAGCTTTAGGTTTACATTTCAAATAATTATAAATTGAATGATTGGAATTCACTGTTCCTTTTCTCTTAAAAAAATGAAATAGTGACAGTCAATCAAAGCTACAATAATACTGAATTGTAGATAGATTTATTAATGTCATTTATGTTGTTTAATTGGGAATGTGTATTTCAAATTCTAGTTTGGAATACTGTGAACTTACTTTCCAGCACCAGAACTTTAGTGGATATGAAGTTCTTGATTTTTCTTACCATACTGGAATCTGTATTAGTCCATCAGTGTAGATACTGGGATGCTTTCAGGATAGACTTGTATTTGTGGATTCACACTGAAATAAAAAGTTCTATGGGACACCTAAGAGGAATAAGGGCGGTATCTGAGAGAGACGATCACTGGAAGCAGAAATTTCCATGAGTTTGTGTGATAACCTCCTTGGAACCACTTTCTTGTAGAAATACTCATGGTATGAACAGAGATAAATAGTGGTTGTGTTTTTGTTTGTGTTATAAAGCTGTGCTACCTCTAAATTTCATGAGATACAGGCTTTCTTTTTAAAAGTCTTTAAATGTATAAATGTATATGCTGATGTATGTGTGAATATATGCTCATATTCACACAAAGCTATATTAATATCTTAATTGAAATAATTGTAAAGTATCTGTGCAGTATGTGATTTCCAAATGAAAAGCGGTTTAGATTCCATCAGAAAAAAATTGTCAGACTTTGATAAAAAGAGTATGAACTGCTTCTTTGCATAAACATTTACCAAGTTTATACCATACACTGTAGCTAGCAGCTTAGAAATGAAGACATAACTCTTGATCTCAAGGTACTGATGGTTGAGAGGTGAATAGATAAATCTAATGAAATCTTGAATTCAATATCTTATAATGGGGCTAAGAAGAAAGTGTTATTAGTTCGTGAGTTAAGACTCCCAGTACGAACTGATGTTTGGGGCTGGGCATGTATCTCAGTAGTAGGACACTTGCTCAGCATGTTCCATCCCCAGTACCTGGGAAGGGGAGGCTGATGCTTGGAATGACTGATTATTGACCAGGTTGTCTCCCAGGGCTTGGAATGCAAAGATAAATCAGAATAAAAAAATGGATGTTCCCATTTACAGGGTAGTATGGAGGAAGCTTCTGTTGTTTACATAAATTGTTTTTCCTTTTTTATACTGTATTCAAGTTTCTCTGGTTTCCTCCAATAAATTAGTACTCAAGAAATATTTTCAGATTCCAATTTCTATGTCCCATATCTGAAACTGATTACTTAAAAGTTTCTTTATTTGCCTACCATGTTTTTCAAAATATCTTTAGCTGCACTACGATCAAAGTATATAAAAGACTTTATTTCTGAAAATACAAATTTTCCATTTTGTTTTAAAAATACTCCACAAAGTTGATGTTCAGTGTAGTAGGACTCCTATGCTAGCAGTAATGCTTCTTTTAGTTATTTTCTTATTCACATAATTTTACATTTCTATGGAAATAGGTTTTGTTTTAAAAACCTATAAATTCTATTAAATAATTTGGGTAACTTATGTCTGTTAGTATTACAGAGAGGCTGGAACATGCTTTAGAAAAAGCAGCTCCTCTTCTACGAGAGATTTTTGTTGATTTTGCACCTTTTCTTTCACGGACACTTTTGGGTAGCCATGGACAAGAACTGCTGATAGAAGGAACAAGTAAGTGATTTTTCTTTATTTCATTTATGTGTATTTCTATTTCAAGCTTATAAACTTAGAAGAAATATGTATAGTCTCTGTTTAACTATTTCTACATTTGAGAATACTTGTCATCTAGTCTGTCGTTTGAAGACTATTACATTCTAGTCTGTTCTAGATGTTTATTGGTGATTTGGATGAAGTAGAAAATTATATGTTGGACCAAATAACTAAGAATATGGTTGTTGTTATCATCATCACCACCATCATCATTATTGTTATTGCAGAGGATCATGCTCAGGGTCTTATGCATGCTCTACCATTGAGGTATATCCCCAGCCCAAGATATTTTTTTACACACAATAAAGTTAACTATGAGGGTAGAGAATTGTAGAGACTAGTGTCACAGGGCATTGCCACATGTTATGAATGTGGAATGCATTATCAGTTTCTATTAGTTGAATTCTATTTTACCAATAAGTAGAGTATTGTACACTATCCTGCTCACATGATACATACATGGTTAGTTTCTTTGAGATAGTCCCAAACCAGTACAGTGGAGAAGTACATTGCTGAGGAGATTGGTGACCAGGCTATTTATGGAATGAATAAAGAATAATGATAATTTCTTTTTTTTCCTGGTGCATTTATAGTATAGTGTTTTCATATATTAGGATAACTTGATAAAGTGAAAGAAAACTTACTCTGAAATTGCCTTAGGCAACAGATACCAAATCAACAGAGGACAGTTTCTCAAACAGTTATTTTTAAGAGCTTAATAGACTGATTTCAAAGTACGAGTCTTCATTTCACACCAGACAGTTTTAAGGAGAAGCTAGAGGACTTTCATTAGTGAAGATGTAAAATTAATCTTTCTGTTCAAAGGTGTTTGAAATAGGGTATTTGGGTACATAATTGCTAAGTCTGGCTTGCTGTGCCCATGATTGATAGTTTAGGATAAGATACTTATATTCCACTCACTCTGAAAAGTCGTGGGGAAGCACTGCCATCTCTGTTTCAGTGTCTTCAGTATCACTGCGTATAGCTTTAGTTATATTTTCTGTTGTGTAATAGTAAATAGATCATTCTCTGAGGAATTCCCTGAAACTTGTGAGAGAGCCTGTTGTTTGCAGAATTAATGCCATAATGGAAAGCAAGTTTTAGATATTAATGGTTTAAGATGCCTGTATCTGAGTGGGTCATCAGAAGTTTATTTGAACCTAAAATGTATGTATTTTGAGTATTAAACTTTAGTTAAGAGTTTCATCTATGTTGTATGTAGAGTTGGTGATGAGTGATCTCATTTTCATAGTCACAAAATAATAATGAATTTATTTGAAAAAGAAAGTTCTAGTTTTAGAAATAGGTGGTCTTGTGAAGGATAGACTTTATTCATCCATGGACTGATGAAGTAATGAAGAACTTTTATTTATTAAGTAATAAAATTTGAAAAGAATGAAATTAAAAATTAAAGTCTAATTTTTTCACATAGCAAACTTTTTTTAATGTGGTATGTCCACTTATGAAATATAGTTTTTATTCCCAAAGTTATATATTTGTGTTTACAGTACCAAAGTCCTTCATGCAGAGAGCTTAGTGTTTGAGGTCTAACCCCAGGTGTCTTGTGTCCTGTGAAATCCTTTCTCACTTCAGATTGTCACACTACTCCTCCAAGCCTACCACTCCCTAAAACATATTAATTGATCAAATCAAACTATGGAATTTTATTTGATCTTTCATTAGCATTGGTTGTTTGAGTACATAGCTCACTGGTCAGTTGATATTTATTTATTTATTGAATCTTCATGTTAACTAGGTAGCAGCTATCAATCTTCTTCTCTTTTACCAAGCTTTGTTACTAGGAAATAAGACTAACATAGTTAAGTATACATAGGTAATTTTTTCTTAAATATGTAAGTATTGAGATATTCTTATTTGTATGTATGGTAGAAGAGACAAAAGAATATCTATAAATCTTTATAATTTTGGATAGTCCATGGTCCTTTTTATACCTATTGTTCATTATATGAGCAAAAGGGCCCAGATCAGAACCCAATGGCTGAAATTTCTGATTCCTCTAATACAGAGAAATAAGGATTTTGTGACTTAATTGTAGAAAGTTCTGAGTTTACTCACCAGAAGTAATAGGTTTCAAAGTTGGAGTAAAACTGAACTTCTTGTATCTCTGTTACATTTTATGAAAAGTGGCAAGGTTTCAGACCATCAGAGGGCCATGCCAGCAAAGAGAGATGGAGTGTCGTTTTGCTCTTTTCTTTTCAGCCCTGGCAACCTTAGCCTGAGGAGCTGTGTACCCCTAGTCTCACAGAAATCACACTTATCTTATTAATGGCCTGCTTGCCTAGTGCAACACAGAGACATCCTGGAGTTAATTTTTATGCTAACCTTAACATTGCTAGCATTATTTTAACATTCTGAAGAATAGTTCTAATTTTTCTTTTAAAAAAATGAAGGTGAATAGTCCATTTAGTTTGAATACTACTTGTAAAACTTCAAAATGCCAACATGTGCCGTTATTGTGTTTGAGGGATTATTATTTAAAACAGGGAGAAAATAAGAGACAGGGAATAGATACGATACCTGGAATTGCTCTGTGTGTGTGTGTGTGAGAGAGAGAGAGAGAGGGAAAGAGAGAGAGAGAGAGAGAGAGAGAGAGAGAGAGAGAGAGAGAGAGAGAGAGAGAGAGAAAGAAAGGAAGGGAAGGAAGGAAAAGAGAGGGAGGGAGGAAGGAAGGAAGGAAAGAAGAAAGAAAAATACTATGGGGTGTTTTAGGAATTATTTCAAATATTAAGCCCTGAAACATAAGCTTGGGTTTTCCCAGAAAAATACAGAATTAATAATTGTGCCATTTAATAATGAAGTTCTTTTGATTATTGCCATTCTTCCTTTTTTAAAGATACTGGCTATATATAAATTGAATGAAGTGCTTCAGGTTTTGTTGGTACATAAAAGCAGAGAACTCTTGTATGGGTATTAATGACATTAAAGTTCCTTCTCAAGGATTTTTTTTTGGTGAACCAAAATGAAACAGAAAATGTAAATGAATTAATTTGTAAGAAATGAGGAATATGTAGCAGACAACGGCTTGCATTTCTGTTAAGGTTTAGTGTGAGGTCAGAGGTCAAGGTACTAATAAGAGTGTTTGGGATGTCTGCTGCCATGAAACAAAATGGAAACTTGATTGATAGCTAGAGGGCTGAAGAGAAAGAGTATAGTGGAGAAAGCAAAGGTCAGGAAACCATTTCCCTTCTCTGCATGTATAATGATCAACTCTCTACAAAACAAAATGTAGATGATATTGATCAGTATGGCATATGTTGGGCACATTTCAATGAGTTTTGTGAAATGTCATTATATATGATGTTGTAACAAATGTTTTAGTTGAAATAGCTCACAAAAATGATAGTAGTATTGATGTCAAGTTAAAAATAGCTATGGGATACTTCATTTAATCATGGTAAAGTATGTACAGGTATGGTTCTTAGCAACATGTCAGTGATTTATTTAAAAAATGATTTGGACAAAATAGTAAAATGAAACTCATTTGTTTTTATTTAAAAAAATATTCTCTTTAAAATAGGTCTGGTTTGCATGAAGTCTAGTAGTTCAGTTGTGGAGTTGGTTATGCTACTGTGTTCTCAGGTGAGTACAAGAATAAATGTTGAATTAATAGTCAATTCTCATGAATTTGTTTTGACAAGGAAGTTATGTTTGTATTATCCAGAAGTATTTGCAATAATAAAGTTTGGAGCTTGCTGTTTAAAAATAATTTCACTAGTATCTTAAAGGGATTGCTTATTTTTGATAGTAGCAGATAATTCTGAAATAAGTACTGAAAGAAAAGAGGCAGATAAATGAGAAAGCTTTTTGGAGTCACATTAAAAATGTTCAGATCAAATAATCTTGAAATGCTCTGTATGTTAAGGTTACAGAAATAGGTTTATTTCCACACTTTGTGGAGTGCCACTCTGATTCCACTGGGAATCGTGGCTGTGCTTCCCTTTTGGGCAGAGGTTATAAAATGAGTGATAAATAATTTTAAGTCCTTGTCATTGCTGATTATTTTTGACATACACAGTAAACTTGGGAAAACATCCACAAAAATGTGGCAGCCATCACAATAAGATCTGGAAAATAAATTCCTGAGTGCAAAATTATTTTTAGTGTTCAGAAACCATGTACTTAATATGTAAAGTATTAATGATTTTTAAAACTTAATATTGTGATTTTTTTTCTGTTTTACAATTAAACAGATGAATGTTTTATTGAGAGTTTGCTTTGCAGGCTTTTAAAAGTGATATCTTGCTGGTAGTAAATTCCCCTACTTAAAACTTTACAATAGCTTTTTTTAATAGGAAGAGTATTGCTCTAGAGGTCAAGGGTTTTGACCCATTTCAACACCTTTGACCTTCATTTACAACTCCCATGGTTTACTTGCCTAACGAATAAGGATAATGCAAAATTAATGTTTCTTTACATCGATTTATTCATTTTAGTGTCTATATTGCCAAATTTATTCAGACTGTGCTGACGGACATTTCATGAATACAAATTAACGAATCATAGAAGGTGTGAAAAATCAATACTGTGCATTATCAATAAAATGCAATGGTAACTATCACTTCTAGAGATTACACCTAATGGATTTTTATAATGAACTTGTTAAAAGTAGTTATGTTTCTTAGTGGGCCTGTTTTTCCTAGATTTAGTGAGAATCATGTTTTTATAATTTAATCATCTCCTTTAGAAAGCTCCATTTCTTCAAAAACTGACCAGATGAAATTTCTCATTAAGCCAGCCAATTTGAAATAATTATTTCTGTAATGGAAATTGCCACATACCATTCTTACATGAAATTACCCTTACTTTTAGAAGTACGCGTATATGGTTTCTTTATAAAAATATGTTTTTGTCATTTATAGTGATAGAACTGCTTTATAGGTGAATTTTGATAATGATGGCTTACTTCCTACTTTATTTATTTATTTATTTTTGTTTTATTAATATATGCATACAATGTTTGAGTCATTTCTCCACCTACTTTCTACTTTAGAATTGAATGTATTTTTGGTATATGAAAGGTATTTCAGATATATTGTGCAATCCGTATTTAAATGTTAGAAGCTGTAAAGATAAAGAATGACATATTGTAATACACCTATTTGTCATGTGTGTCCCAGTGCTGTTTAATGCTTATCCAATCAAATGGGATAACAAGATCACTGGTAGAGTAAGGTTCAAAAGCCAGGAATTCTCAAGGTTTTTGTTTGAGTAACATACATTACTGGGTATTTGAAGTCCTTAGCATTTTTTATGAGTTCTTCAAAAGTTCCATGGCATCTCTACAAGATGTAGCACAGTGTGAAAAATGATGTGAAAAATGAAGCCAGAATTAGCTCCAGATGTATACAGATTGTTCCAGGGTGATAATTACATTTTTCACTTTGAATTTTCCTAATTCAAAGAGGTCAACTTCGTAATCACAAAAGTGATTTATTTTGTTAAGAAGTGAACTGTCTTTTTTCTACATGAAAGCTTAAGAGATATGAAATTGAATTTCAAGTCGACATTTTACAGATACTGGGTGGGGATATTTTGAGTTTGATTGATAATTTTTGTTAGCTTGAGATAGGGTGGGAAGTAAAAAGCTACCATGTTGCTAAAATTTTAATTAATTTTTTAAGAGGAGATGGAGAGGATTGAGTGCCAAAGATCAAAAGATCAGGTCAAAAACTCCTTTTTAATCACATAAATAATGGGATATGCTTATGAACTTAACATCTGCAAATTTGATTTAGAACTTTACAAATTAGTTGGTGTTAATATCATGACAATCAGACATGTTCTGATTATTTTTCTTGAATCATTCAAAACTTATTTTCTTAAACAAGGTGCTTAACCATGGTTTATTACAAAAGATAGAGAAAGGGGAAAATGATCACATTTGGTTTGTTGCCAGTAAGACCAAACATACACATATACACACGCAGCTTCAACTACCATTGTATTTTTCACGGTTTTCTCACTCGTAGTTTATTAGGAATCATTTCACATTTTACCTATTGAAACTTCAACAGCATTTAGGCAAAATGTTACAACACTTGGGATATCTTTGAATAAAATTAATATGTTTTTAAGATTTATTGAATTAAATTTGTTCATATATTGAATCTCATATAAAATAATTCAAGAGCTATGTAAACTCCAAAGACATTTAAATTCCTTTTCTAGGTATGTAACTCAAGCTGGCTTTGAACTGACTATGTAGAGCAGGAGAGCTGGAACCTAATTATCCTCCTGCCTCAGCTTCCCTAGTGCTAGGAATTCAGGTGTATGCCACCCCCCAGGGTTTTAAGTCTACTTACTTCTTAAAATAAGACTCTGTATGTGATTCAGAAAAGTGTACATTTTTTGGTGCACACAAAGAAGTTGAATAAGTTCTCAGCTGTATTTCAGATTCAGTTTGTCACATCATGTAACTTATTTGTACCCCATGTTTGTTGTGCATGTGTATAAACCTGGGAGAAGTCTGTGTGAATTTAAAGAAGATGTTAACTGTTTCAAGTAACACTACTTCTGCGCTGTATGAAGTGTTCGTTTCTTGCGCATTTGACATTAATATCATTTTTGAAAGCACTACATTGCCTTCAAGGCCACTTTATAAAAGCGTGAGTTGCTCATCCTAATTCGGTCTGACATACATTCCAGTAACACTGCCTCCTCCTGGGGTCTGAAGCTGAATTGATGACTGTGCATTGTGACGTGCGTCATGTAAGAGTGGTTTCAACCCAAAACATCTAATAAATAAATAATGTGTATGGCTGCTCAGGACTAGACTTTCTAGACTAGAAATCATTCCATCGGATACTCAACAGTCCACTATCGGAGAAGGCTGTCCGATAAATCTTGTGGTAGCGGCATTCATGTCCTGTAAATCACACATTATTGTCTGAGCCTTCTGCCGGGTCATCTGTTCTTTTCCCATTTATCAGAAATGCATACAGTATATGGAAAAACTAGAAGCAGCATGTAGTCTGCCCTGCCATCCTGTCTGAGTAATTAATTAGCAGCAAAAGGTAATTTAAAATGCTTAGTGTGATTTTTTTTTTAAGCCTTAAATCAAAGTATGTAGATTTTTGATATTTTGGGAAATATTTTCCTTTTATGAAAGTAGTGATATAAGGTTTGATCTTTTTTGACTTAAGTGATTCTATACCTCTGAATTATTAATTTAAAAATCATGATAGTCACAGTAAGAATCAGATACCACTGTTTTTATGCATTTATGTTAGTTTTCTCTTTGAATTTCTTCTGAGTCTTTATAGTAAAATGTACCTTTTTCCTTTAAGTTCTTTTCTCTAACTCTAGGCTTCTGTTTTATTTTGAGTTCACCCCTTCTGAGTGTTATCCCTCTTGCCTTCATAGTTCATGAACTTTTCCTTTTCTTGTGAAAGATACCTGATTGTGAGTAGGTTATTAAAAACAACAAGTAGGCAAAACAGTAAAAAGCCTGCCCATCGTTAGGTGTGTCTTTTTGCTTGAACTTCATTTATTACCATTCTAAAGTACTTAAAATTTCCCACGTGTGCCATAATATATTTCTGTGTCTTGGCACATACTTTTGCTTTCTCTAAAATGTCCCTGTTTCAAATTTGATAATTCTTAATTGATGGCCTCTTTTTCATAGCTCATCTTAATTCCTTCCTCCGATCATCATGTCTGTTTATAGTTGATATCTCTCTTACTTGTCTTCATCTTAACACCCATCATAGAATTTTCTGTGAATTGTAATTATATATCTGTTAGTATGTATACTTTTTATTGTTAGTCTCTCTCTGTATTCTGGGCTCTATAAAGGTAACAACTATTTTTGTTTTGCCTATTAAAATTTACATAGTTCTTATCATAGTCCTTGCACATGAAAGCTGCCCAATGAACATTTATGGGAAAAATAAATTATTCAGCTCATAGCAGTATTACAATCTATTCTTGACAGCTTTCCTTGACTTCTGTCTTCCCCACCTTTCTAAGCCTAAGTGAGATTTCATTGAGCCCACTCACTGACCTATATAATAGTAATTTCATTCTGTATTTAAATTGCCTCTGGTTTTCCTTCTCTGCTATTTCAATTGTAAGTTTCTTGAAGGCAAGCACTTTTTATTTTTTATTCTGTCTCCAATATTCAGTATAATTATTGTTCAAGCCAATGTTTTTATACTTGTATAATTAATATATGTGTAATAACTTGGATGATAAATCACTATATTTTGAACTTTTGTCTTTCATAATGAAATACCCCAATACTTTTTGATATAAATTACTTTTTTATATTAAATCTTCATTTTCTTAGGTCATTAGTTTATCATTACCAAATACTGCGATTATATTCATTTACTCATGGGGTCTTTTTTTTTTCATTTCCTTTGGCTTGCTTCTTTTTTAAGAATCTACATTATTGAGGAATAGTTTATATATAATAAATGTGCACACACTTTAACTGTATAGTTCAGTGAATTTTGGCATATACACAACCATGTAATGATCATTTTAATCCAGAAAGTTCCCTGTCCTCTTTGTTTTTAAATCCAACTTTTACTACCTCAAGTAGCCACTGATTTGATTTCTGTTATTGTGGGTTAGTTTCACTTACTGTAGAACTTAATTATCAATGGAGATTTATTTCTTTCAACCAGTGTGTAGACACTCACAGTGTGCTGTATTTAGGGTACATTTTAGCCTTTTCCACTAAAGCTCACTATCCAGTATTAAGAAAATGTGTTTTTAACTTTTTTTTTTTTTTTTGTAGTACTGAGGTTTGAGCTCAGGGCCTCATACTTGCTAG